AAAACAAAAAGAAACAATTCAGCAAATGGAATTTTAACTCCATCTTTTCAAACACGGTCGATAGACGCCTCAATTGAATTGGAGCTCTACTTGACAAAAGGTTTGGACTATGAATAGCACACAAAAATATCTATATTCTTGGATTATTAGCTATGAGAGAAATATAAACAATTAAACACAACTACTAGAAGTTATAAACACTTCAAAACCAATTACTACTGTGGAGATAACCAAATATATAGAAGCTTCTTTGTGGTCAAGAAATTCACTAGAGTAGGAAATGAAGAACCTCTTGTTCTCCAATAACTACAATCGCAGATAAGAGCACAAGTGAATGAAAGTTGTATTGCTGATAACAATGGAAGATATGGGGGTGGGGTGGGGGGGTGAAAGAGCTATAGATTCCCATCTTAACACCCGTGATCATTTTCCTGACATTGAAGAAGATTGATTGCAACCATTCTTGTCCAAACACTTGTTCCAATTTACGTAACAATGAAATTGAAATGCATAAACTGTTTGCAACCAGGCTGAAATAGATTGATTTTCTGATGAATATATTGCCTATACTGCACACCCTTTCAACTCTAGAAAATTGGCTTTTGTACTGAAGGAGGACCAGCTTGAAATAGCACCCACTAAAGTGGAAAGTCAGGTGATTCCTCTATATTTGGAACACAATAGAGTTCTCTGCAAGATGCGTCACTAAGCACTTGGGTCAAAATGACATGCATTATCTAGATGAGGAGGTGGAGAAAAGTTAATAGCATCAGCCAATTGAGCTGGTCTAGAGGAAATCTAGAAATCTACTAAAGACATCCACAGCCATAGTTAAAGTACAATAAAATATGTGAGATTGTAATTTCTTGCTCCCAATTCGTTGCAGAAAGAGGTTCATATTCCCATGAAATAGGAGAATGATGAGCTATTGGGTTTGCTTAAACTTTCTCTTGGTGACTTTACTACCTCTGAAGGTATCAGATTTTTTGTCGAGCTTATTTTCTTGTATAATGCATCCTCAACAGATGGTGGAGTACAATGGAAGCAGTATCATACTGCATATACTATTATCTTTTTCTTGCGAATTGGTGGAGCTGGAACAAAGATAAAGATGTACTGAGCAAGCTTGTTCACATCCAAAGTTCAACACAAATCCAAGTAAAAGAATTCAGAAATCTATTGTAAGCGAGCATTTCAGTCTTGCCACTAAGCCTAAAATATAAATTCGCCCCGTATCTTTCCCAATATATCTCTTTTCTCTCAATAAACCTGTTTATCGCAAAAGTACTCTGATTGCAACGCTATTCAGGAATAATATTTGGGAGGATCAGCTGTACACTTGGAATTCAACATAAGATCATTTTGTCGAGAATAATGTTCACAAGAGTCCTTCGGCAATATTAAACACCTCAAACATACTGGAGTAAGGTACAAAGTTAGAGACATTCTGCTGTGGAACTAAACCTAGGAGAGATAAGCATTTCCATCAGTATATTATATAAATCGACCACCAATGCTATAACATAAAGGTGAGATTTTTGCTATTGAGTATACCACAAACACTACTTGACAACACATTCCAATTAAGTCAATGGGAAAATAAAAGGGTATAACATAAAAATTCAATCAAAAACTTATATTTAAGATCTAACATGTGATTATTCAAGAATCAAACCCCATAATGATCAAAACTGAAAACCTTGCAAATTGGCCTAATGGGTATCAAGAAAAATCATATTTTTAATAAAGGGTGTGAAGAAAAAGTTGAAGAAACGATGGAAAACAAACCTTGCGATTGATGAAAGTGAACTGAGAAGAACATCCTTGGCAATGAGAAGCATCAACTACCCAATTATTCCCTCTGAGTGATGGTTTTGAAGGTAAACCGATCTTCTCCAACATTTTCTTCAATCTGTTACTTTCAAAGAAAAGAAAAAGTAAACTCAAATAGAAAGAAGAATCCTTCGCTGATTCACTTTTTCTGATATCTTGTTTAAAACGACGAGCGGAGCTAACCAAACGACGACGTTTGTTTCAGCGAAAGTAAGAATAAGAAAAACAATCAAATACGCAAGGCAAATACCTAACAAGAATTGTTTATTTATTTATATTTATATATATTTATTAAGTAGTAGTAGTAATTGTTTTAAGGAAAAATTACTTAAATACACTACTTTAATTATCTTAATAACCATTTATTCCAACTTATTTTAAAAATTTCAAAAATTCCTTATTCCTCCAATTTAAAAAAATATAAATGATACATCATGATTTTTCACCTTTTTTTCACCCAATTGGCAAGTTTAACTTTACCAAAAACTAAATCCTATTTTTAAGTTACCCACTTCCCCATTAACATCCCCAATTAAAATTTACCATATTAATTTTTATTCCTTTTCCTTTTTAATTCCCTACATTGTAGGTGTATAATTGTCTACTTTTAATTCCCTTATTCCACACGTTTACATTTGCAGGTTTATTTTGAATTCCAGTTCAAATTTCATCCATATCTATTTGATATTCTAGGACTCTCTTTCCATCTACCAAATTTTCTCCTTCAGTCTATTTCTTGCAGGTAAATTTTGAATTCCCTTCAAATTTTCATCCATATTTATTTGTTATTTTGTAGGACTATCTTTACATCTAAATAGATTTTCTCATTCATTCAATTCATCGTGTTAGTATACAAATATCATGGAAGAGTGTG